AGGGCTTTGTTTAAGCAGGCACTTAAACAACTGAGCTACTGGGCAGGTCCCCTCCCCAGAATATCTTTAACGGTCTGCAAGTAAAAATGATTCTAGAAGCTGGGCACGGTGGTGGTGCTCACTAATAATCCCAGCACTCAGGAGGGTGGGTTAGGAGAATCAAAAGTTTGAGGCCAGCCTGGGGTTCATAGCTAGACAATATCGCAAAGAACAAACCACAAGGAGAAAATCACTCCATGGTTAGGTAAATTAGCAGATAGGTTAACTTAAGCACGTTCATATTTCCAACAGAACTTGTCAGAGCTGACTTCATTAAAAGTCATTATATAGGGGGAAAAAATGAAAAAAGAAACAAAATGAAAAAAACCCAAAACAGTCACTGTGAATTTCCAGTTGGGACAATTATGAAATGAATCGTTTTGCAAACATGGTGTCCACAGAACCCATATGGAGAAAAGATTATGGATCAAACACATGTGTTTTAGGAAACGAGTCCTCAACTGTGAAGTTTCAGAGGTAGTCTTGGAAAAAGAACTGTGTACCTTAAGGCCACAATGGCAGAAGACGGCCAGGAAGTCTTAAGGAGGAGGACACTGTTGCTGGAGTTTATAGGAACTAACCCACGACTACGGGTTGACAATGGCGCCTCCTGCCTCAGCGGATTCTCTTGGCTGTTCAGGCCACGCCCGGCTCTGCTGTGGGGACTGACCCTAGGTTCCCGGCTCAGCCCTCTTCGGAGCCTCAGTGCCCGGCTTTCACACATTTCTGTCTTCTTACAGTAAGTTACCTTTGCAGAGTTGATGCACGGGGAAGGCAGAAACAGCTTTGCAGGGCTCCACAAGTCCCCTGGACTGTCTCCCGGAGCCCCCAGAGCCCATGGTAACTGAGGGAGAGAGGGGCTTGGAACTCCTGCACCCTGTGGGTGGGCAGAGGTTTCCATTTGGGTTTTTTTGTTTTTGTTTTTTTTTTTTGTGGTACTGGGGATTGAACTTGTGTTCAAATGCTGAGTTGTGTTTCCTTTGTACTTATGGAAAAATATAGGTATAACTCTGAAGATTGGTCTTTATAATTTCATATTATTATACAATCTTGTGAGAATTACGCATTGCTTGAATAATGTCCATTTCATCATTAATTTTATTTTTCTTTTGCAAGAAAACTTGAGATGAGAGTCAAGTATGAAAAGCTCCAAGTGCTGCCACTTCTGAAGGCCAAATAATGGGCCAAATGAGCACCAGATTCTAGGTCATAACAATGCAGAAATTTCTCATGAATGCTTAAGAATTTTGGCTTTTTAGCAGACAATAGCTTGATTGCATTGCTAGGTCTGCTGATTCAAGGAGCAAGGTGACAATAGGAAAAGTGGGCCAAGAAAGCCCTCACTGGAGGATGAAGGCAGGACATGCATGAAATTAGATGCAAGTGTCCACTGAGCCGCGCATCAGCGGACAGGAGCCGGTGGTGGATGGGAGCTGGGCTCCGTGAGCGGAGGGGGCAGTAGGGCAGCCGCCCAGCGTGGCTTAGGTCATGCTACGAGAGTTCCGGGGACATTTTCAGGGGAAAAGGAATCCAGTGCTGCTCAAGTGTAACACAATCTGGTTCTTGTTCATTGCTTCTAATTCTGTAAATTTAACTGAATACCTTTTATGCTGTAGGCACTGAGAACCCACAGAAAACAAACCCCGAGGCGCCTTCCTTCTGGACAGGAGTCTGTCAAGCAGCTCCTGCAGCCGAGGTTAGAACTGAAGGTGTGAGACTAGGTGGTGACCCGATCCAGCGGTCATGGGACTCCTCTTAGGGTATGACCTGCAAGGCAAGGATGAAAGGGTGGCAAGTTAGCTCTTCAGAGAAGGAAGAGACAAGATTCCAGGGAAAGGGGATGTAAGTGCAAAGACCCTAAAAGAACTTGACACTTTCTAGGCCTGGGAGAAGCCCTGCATGGCTCAAAGCATAAAGATTAAAGAAGAAAGCTGCGAAGGGTAACACGGCACAGACTGGATGGGGTAAGACACAGTCAGGACTTTGTAGGAACAGATTTTGGATTCCTGATCTCCCGAACTGTAAAAGAATAAATAGGTGTTTCTGTGGTATCTGTTATAGAAGCCGAAACTCGTGCTAGTGAAGGGAAAGGCTGTGCCCGACAAACGTCCTTGCACTGAGCCCCGAGAGCAACAGAATCGCAGGCTTCTCGGCGACTGCAGTGTGTCTACAGGAGCCCGCTTTTCTCGGTCCATTGGACATGATCAGATCAGGAGAACTAGTACTTGCTAACCTAACTCGTGAGAAAGACACCGACCCGAACACCACTGCATTGGCTTCTTGCTGGAAATACGGATGCTGTATTTGCCGGCTCATGCCCAGCCGCAGCGACAACCTGCCTGGGAAATGGAGAGCCAGAGTGAAGGCAGTTGACTCGTTCTTTTTTAAAATTTTTTTGTGAATGTAGGGCTCTTTTATTTCTTTACTGGTACCTGCAATGGTGGGTGGCACTACAGGGCCACCTCGGGGGCACTTCTCCTGAGCCCTGGCCCTGGGCTGCCCGAGCCTCCCTCTGCTCCTGTCGCCTCTTCCGCTGCAGCAGCCGCCGCTCACGTTGGAACTCCTTCTTCCGCTGCTCGTAGTCGAGGGGTTCACAGTAGTCCTGCTGCTCAGGCGACAGCTGTGCGTCGGTCATCTCCTGCTGCGTGGCCACCATCATGCGCTCCTTCCAGTTAGGCAAGCCGTAGTCCGGCGGGAAAGTGGGCATGTGCAGCGGGTCAGGTTCTACTGAGGCATTGCCAGGTAGGCCCCCATGGCTGCTCCACTTTATTAATTTTTTTTTAACGTATTTGGTACAGGGTCCGCAGGGTCTCACTACACAGATCGGACTCAGTGATCCTGTTTTCAGCCTCCCAAGCGCTGGGATTACAGGTGCGCACCACCACAGCCGTCTCAGTCACCTCTCAGTGCACCCCAGGGGCGAGGGCCAGCACGGCATGCCAGGCCCCAGTGCCTGAGCCTGCCTAAACAGGCACTATAGTCCCCTGAGCCATCTGGCCGGCCCGAGCTGACTCATTCTGAAGGCCAGTGTCACCAAAGCCTAACAGGATGAAGACCAGTGTGTGAAGAACCCTGGTGATGTCACCATCCCTACAGGATAAGGACAAACCCCCACGGTGTCCTGTTAGAACCAACACAGACTGAGCCAGAATTCCAACCTGCTGGAATTCTATTCTATGATAGGGACTCACACTATCATTAAGAGCAGTTTACTTTTCTCTAATTTTCTGAAGTCAAAAAGTCAGCGCCAGGCATAGAATCAGTAAGCAGCACACCAGCCCGCTGGCTGCACACACAAAGCGTCACACACGCAGCCAGTGGCCTCCGGGACAGAGCTGCGGGACTTGCGCCGGCGCTTCGGTAGCCGCAACGTTTGCCAGGCTTCCCTTCTCCGTTTGAGGTCGCCGTGGTATAAGTCTGGAGGTCTGAATACTAACGTAAGCTAGAAACGAGTCTAAAGCAGAAAGACTAGAAGTTAAATAATTTCCTGTGTGACCTAGAACGGGCCCTTGATCTTTTAGGACTTCCTTGTTGGAATTTATGGCTGCTATACCTTTCATTTTCCTAGCCCGAAAATTCAGTGAATCTTTGAGAATCTCTGGAAAAGAAATGCAGAAAGTTAACTTTCTTTTGCTTTAGTTTCATTGTGGAAACTTTCAGAAGTTTAAAGAAGCTGTTCTGAAGTTTACCAGGAGGTGCCCCAGCTGTCCACTCAGCAGTGAGCTTGCTCCTACGAGCGGACTGCAGCACTGAGGGAGGCCAGCTAGGGGATGCAATGTGCACTCACACAGCCCACAGGCACTTCTGTGAAGCAATCTGTTCCAATTTTATTTTTATAAAAAAGCAAAGAGAACAGGGCGCGGGAAAGCAGGACTAATGCCTGGTCCCTCCAGGTAGAGGACAGGCCAAGGACACGCGGCTGGCCACCCTTCTGGCCTTTATTATAAAGGCGGCAGCAGCGCAGGCTCCTAGGGCTTCCCGCCTTAGCCCAAGGGCCTAACTTGGAGGGCTCAGAGCCCAGCCAACAGTCGGCCAGACCCCAGAGTGGTGTCCCCGAGGAAAAAGGCAGAGGTCAGGCTGTGGTGACCTTCACTCGGGCGCGTCTGTTCGATTGTCGAGGCCGCCCTCTTCGGGGCGAATAGGGGTGCTGCCCTCTCCAGGGCGTATAGGGGCCCTCCACTTGACACCTGGGGAAACCTCTGTATACCACTGGGGACCGCTGCTGATAAGAGGGTGAGGGGAAGCCAGACATGGGCGGCTGGGGATCAAACATAAAGTCCGTTTCAAAGGCGAATCCTGGCTGGGGAGAAGAGGGGGTGTCGGAATGCAAATAGAATTGATCCGATTGGAAAATATGGTCTGAGGAAAAATATGGATCTTCGGGATGGAGTAGGAATGGGGGTGTTGTTTGATAGGGAGGAACGGGAGGAGGCGACTGGAACATGAATGGCGGTGGCTGGGGCACAAAGGGGGACAAGGGCAGGGGTGGGCACCCCAGCAGGGGCTGGGGCCAGGGAGGGGACAGAGGGGAGGCCCCCGGGTCTTGGCCAGTAGGGCGCCGCCGCGTGACGCCCGGGCCGGGCTGCTCCCCGGGGCCCGGAAGTTCCGGCAGGGCCTTGGAGGGCAGCTCCACGCCCCAGGCGTCGGCCACGTGGGCCAGGAGCAGGCAGGAGAGCCGCCGGTGAGTGTGCTCGTTCCAGTGCACCCCGTCCGTGTGCAGGCCCGCCATGGTGCGGCGGAAGTGGAAGTGGGAGTCCAGCACGTCGAAGCCGTAGCTGACAGCCTTGGTGGAGCTGTAGAAGTTGGCCTCGATGACCAAGTGCTTCAGGGGCACTTCCCAGGGCCAGGACTTGTGCGGCAGGAAGCTGGCCGTGACGGTATTGCCCACCGGCATGGCGGTACTCCACAACAGGAGGCAGGACTCGGGCAGCACCTGGCCCAGGCGCTTGAACAGCGCCTCCAGGTTCTGCAGGTAGCGCTGCCAGGAGCTCGGGCCGTACCTGGAGATGTCCCAGAGGCAGGAGTTCACGATGACGACGTCGGGGGCGTGCTCGCCAGCCTGCAGCTCCTGCAGCACATCCTCCAGGTAGGCAGAGTACACGCGGGTGAGGAAGTAGAAGCGCACCAGGTGGTGGGCAGAGCAGAACTGGCGCACCTCCCGGTAGTGGGTGCCGTTGTGCATGGTGCCCTTCTGGCCCCCGGCCATCAGCGTGTCCTGTTCAAAGCTCATCTCCCCCTTGGCCCTGAGCTGGCTGGGGGTGAGCAGGCAGTCCTTCTGCAGTAAGAGCACCAGGTCCTTGTACACGGCCCTCTGCACTGAGTCCCCCAGGACAACCACAAACTTGTTGTGGAGCAGCTGCTGTACTTCGGAGGCCAGCAGGTGGGTCATGGTAGCCTGGCAGGTTTCGCTCCTCCAGGCGCACCAGATGGATCCCCGGAGCACTAGGACAAAAGAGAGAGTGCAGGAGGGACTCAGTCGAGGATAACCCGTGGTGCCAGCCTCTGCCCTCAGGTATCTGACCAAGCCTTGATGGAAAATGGGAAGAGACAGTGGAAGGCTTCCTTGTTTGGGTGCAGCTAAAACCTGGAATCTGACCTCACAACTACCTACAGAGGCTCTGGGAGACTGGGACTCCACTGTGGGGGCAGCGCCAACCACCTACCCGGCCAGGACTCAAAGGGCTGCAGGTGATACCAGGATGCAAAGGGCTGCAGGTGATACCAGGATGCGCTGGGCAAACCTCTGGGCATCCTCCTGCCTCAGTCTCCCCCAGTGCTGGGGCTGTAGGCATGCGCCATCACTCTGGGCCTAAGAAAAGATTTCCTAGCTGGATGTGGCAGCACAGGTCTGTATTCCAAGCAGCACTTGGGGCAAAAACTTGGAAAATGTAAGTAATACAAAGCTGTAACTAACCCAAGGCTTTGCCTCCTACCTGAAGCGGACCAGAATGTGCTCCCCCAGTACACACGCAGAGGTAACCACTGTTCAGAACTGGAAGCAAATAGAAAGCAGGGGTGCAGGAAGACTTCTCTGATCTTCCTTTGGCTGCCTGAAATCCAGTATAAGTTTATCTGTGAGGAAGAAGGCGCTCTTCTCCCCAAGGTGGAGAGGGAGCTGGGGCTCCCTTCATGGAGACAGCTTCCCTGTCTCTTCACATCTACCAGGCGCCCTCAGTGAGGCCGGGGATGGGCACCCCACCACCATTACCTAACAGAGCGTAGGAGGGCGGTCTCTCCTCAGTACCCTCCCTCAGCACCTTTCTTGAAGCTCAAACCCTCTTTTATTGAAAGGTCGGTAAGCCCCCAGTTAGAACCGCTTGCTGACTTCACTTTCCTGTATATCCCCGTGCCTGCAAGGTGGACTGAGATTGCACCTTGTCTCTGATTAATCCCACTCCCCTTTAACTGCATGCCCCCAGGGACTGAGCCAAGAGGAAAAGGGCTTCCTTTCCAGCTTGTTGAACGGAACATTAAAAGCTGTGAAATGATTTTTAGAATTTCAGATTGAATTTAGGGCTTATCCCTTTTCAGTCAAGGACAACTAAAGGGTAGAAGAAAAACATTTTGCTGCTGCCAACAAATGTTAATGGGGTGGGGGAGTGTCCACTTCCTACCTAGGAAGAGCCACTGCGGTCCACGGGGGCCTCACTGCTGTCCTGTGCTGTGCATTAATCAACATCTTAAAAGTGTGGATGGGTAGCTGTCATGAACCTACAAACTCAACTATTATGACTGTTGGCTTTTAGCTGGCACCAGGACTGCACCCAGGGGTGCTGGGTCACAACCCAACCCTTTGCATTTTCTTTTGAGGCAAGGTTTCATTAAAGTAGCTGAGGCTGGCCTAGAATTTTTAATCCTCTTGCCTCAGCTTCCTGTACACCTGCAATTCCAGGCGCGTACCACTGTATGCAGCTACGACTTCAGTCTTTCAAAGTTATACTGTTTATAGTTTCATCCAGGTCTGGTGGCTCCCGCCTTAATCCCAGGACCCAGGAAGCTGGGACAGGAGGAACACTATAAGCTCAAGTGAATGCAAAGCTAGCCTGAATTACATAGTAAGACCCTGTCTTTAAAAAAGAGGGGGGGGGGGCGGGGAGATGGCTCAGTGGAATAAGCGTTTCCCTGGCAAGCGCAAGGGCCTGAGTTCAATCCCTGGTTCTGCAAAAAATATATATATAGAGAGAGAATTTAGCTCACTGTGGTATAAAGGAAACTCCAAATCCCTCTGCGATCCAAGCATGTCCGTGTTCAGACAGACTTCTGTGTCCAATTTACACTTCTGAAGGGCCTGCTGCAGTTCCACCCACAAAGTACGGAAGTGAGTAAAGCACAGCCGTTCTCCTGGGATCCGAAACACTCATCCACAACTGTGACCCGAGGGTGACGTAGGAGCCTCGGGCTGGGAAAGGGGCCTGGGGACAGTGCCCCCCCAGACCCAAGCCTCACAGGGGCGTGGAGCCAGGAGGAGCCCCTCTCCCCTGCACACAAACCCAGCTCAGAGTCTGCGCCCTGCCCTGTCCGGAACTGGTCAGATGCTGTGCTCTGTCCCGTAGGGCGTTAAGTGTCCTCTCCTCTAGGCTAGCAGATGGGACAGCCAGGGCTGTCTCCACTGCAGTGACTCTCTCTGCATGTGAAGTACCCTAATGTGGGTAGACAGGAGTCCAAGTACGCTACCGCGGGAGTGGAACCAGTGGAACCATACAAGGAGCCTTGCCTTGCCTCTGGGGCCACACCACCTGGGTCTCAACCTCAGCTCTGCCACTTAATAGTTCTTTGCCTTTAGGTGAAGTATTTACACGGTTCACAGATCAGACGCAGGGAAGTGTTTAGAACAATGCCTGCGAAGCTCTGATACAGGTAGTCCTTACGACTGAGTCACTGTGCAGCACCAGGTTAATCATTTTCAGAAGGGGCAGGCACAGTAGTGCCTATCTATAAGCCTAGGGCTCTGGAAGACGTGGGGGGGGTGAAACAGGTGAGTCCCCAAGTTCAAATCCAGCAAGCTCTTTCTCAAAATGAAAGATCAAACAGGGACTGGGCTGTAGTCCTAAGCACAAGGCTCCAGGTTCAGTCTCCAGTAGGGCAGCGTGGAATACAAGGGTGGGGGAGATAGCTCAGCAGACTAGGCACCATGCCCCAGGGAGCGCTCAACCTGTAATCCCAGCGCTGGGGAGGCTGAAAGTAAGAGATCTCTATGGGTCCAACCTGCGTAGTGAGGCCTTGTACCACATGTTTAAAAAAAGGAGAAAGGTTCGAAATACAACCAGCTAACGGTTATCATACAGGTGCTAGGTACCACATTCTTTACAGTGGCATACCCGTGAGATAATTTTTATTCCTCTCATTTTACAGGAAAGGACATTGAAGTGATGTGGCTGAGACTCACTCCAAGTCTATCTCCAACAGAAGGGTGTTGGGTGTAGGTACAATCTTATTCTGCTTGCCCGGGAGGAGTACGGCGTGAGGTGGTGAGAGGCACACATTTCACACCCTAATCTCAGGCCAGTGACTCGGAAATCTAAAGCCCTAGACATGCAAACGAGGCAGCGACTCTGCAGGCTGGGATTCCTGGTCTGAAGCTGTCTGAGTTTCCTCGTGCTGACCCGGGAAACCCACCCAGATTCTGCACCGCGGTGACGATGGCCACCTGGTGACAATGGCCACCTGAAAAGTTCTCCTCATCCTTCTTGGGTAGGACACGCAGAGGTGACTGGAAGGGAAGGGCGAGACAGGACTGAGAAGGGCCACTCCGGGAGGAGCCCAACTGCAGGCAAATGTAGGAAAGTCTCGTAAACAGCCCCAGGGTCTGCATCAGATGAACAAAATTGGGTGCCCTCCAGGTCCCTGTGGGACAGGGTCAGCTAAGCGATGGGACTAAGCAGGAAGAGCAAAACCTAGCAGGGCCAAGAAACACTGTAGGGGAGTGTGGAGGGGTCAGGCCAGCCTGTGCTGCACAGTGAGTTCAAGGCCAGGCTGACCTGCAGAGCGAGACCCTATCTCAAAAAAAAAAGAATAATTATTTCAGAGGGGTTAATCTCTAAATTAAAAAAAAAAAAAAAAACCAGCAGCAACTTTCATTTTCAGGCTTTTTTTATATAAAAACAAAGCTAAAGGCATTTTAAAATTGCCCGATTAGTCAATTTTTTGTTTTGCTTTGTTCTGTTTTCAGCCTAAGCTTCTTTCTTTGCTTCATATTTTCCAAAGTCACTTATTAGTTTTGGAAGTAATCTGGGATTTGTAAGCATCACTGAATCCCAGCACTGGGGAGGCTAAGGCAGAGGATCACTGGGAGTTCAAGACCAGTATGGGCTGTAGAGTGAGCTCAAGGCCAGCCTGAACTGCACTGTGAGATCCTGACTCAAAGACACACACACAGAAACAGCAGCAGTGGCTGGGAGCCAGCTCCTGGCTTGGAGGTCCTAGGTACACTTATCAGTCTGTCCCTCCAACAGCAGGAGACAAAGACATCAAAGGAGAAGCTGCTGGGAGGCACCAGGGAGTAAATCAGCAACTCCATTTACATGATGTATGCAAATGAAGAGCTAGGGGGAAGAGTCAGGTTTGTAGGCCACCCTCACCTTGTGCTTTGATTGTTACAAAGAAACAGGATTTAGGTGGGCGCGGAGCTGCAGGCCTGTAATCCCAGCACTCCCACAGCCGGAGCTGAGACAGGGGGATCACTGTGAGCTTAAGGCTGGCCTGGCTTACACAGGGAGTTGAAGGCCAGGCGGAACTATAAAACAACACCCGGTCTCAAACCAAAACCAGAACATCAACAAAAATAGGATTTAAGAAAAGTTTCACATTGGGGCTGGGGAGATGGCTCAGTGGAATAAGCGCTTCCCTGGCAAGCGCAAGGGCCTGAGTTCAATTCCCGGATCTGCCAAAAATAAGTTTCACAATGATTTCCCAAATCATAGTTCCAGAGTTTTTGAGGTTTTCTCAGTATGTAGTGCAGCCTGCCTTAAACTCATGGCAATACCCCTGTCTCAGCCTCCAGAGTGCTGGGATGGCAGGCCTGTGCTCTCATGCCGGGCCAGGCCGTAGTTCCATATTTTGTTTTGTTTCTTGAAAGTAAAATTTGGGCTAAGGCTAAAGCTGTGGCAGAAATATGAATTAATAACAACTTCTGCTGCAATGAACTACTTTTCCCCATTAAGGGACAATTGATTTTTCAGTAGCTTCATGGGCAACGAATTATAATCACTGACTACAGTCATAACCATCATGAACCAGCCACATTTCTTTCTTATTAATCAATGTTTCCTAGTAATGAGGTTGGTTACTTTAAGGGTGACAATGAAGCCGGCCCCCAACAACCGGCAGCACTGAGCAAGCAATTGAGACTGGGCCTGGTAGGCCTGTAATCCCAGTGCTTGGGAGGCTGAACCAGCAGGATCACTATGAGTCTGGCCTGTGTAGTGAAACCCTGTAGACCCTGTGCTAAGTACATTTAAAAAAAAAAAATTAAAATAAATAAAAGAGTGACAGTGAACTAGACCAGTCTCTCCAGAGACCTGGCAGAAAAGCTTAAAATTGGAAAGCCATAAGTAATTAGGATGCTGCTTCTGTTTCTTGTATGGGGCATTTGCCACCTGCTTAAACATTTCTAACATATGATTACACCTTGATGTAACGCTGTATTGGACTATCCACAGTCCATATCCTGCATTTTTAGGGGTCAAACCTATCCTTTGGACTTTCCAAGATCCCCTTATACTTTGGGGGTACACAAGAAAATTGCCTTTCATGAACTCCCCTTTTGACGTACCTGTGCCTTCCCACGCACTTGTCAAAAATTAAATTACATGCCATATAAAGTTGTTCTTTGAGATAGGGCCCTGCTATGTGTACTACAGGGCCAGGGCTGGCTGGAACTCAGGGCAATCCTGCCTCGGCCTCTGAGGTGAAGGGATTACAGGCAAGTGCAAGCTTGCCCAGCCACATAGTGTGAAAAGAAAAAAAGAGCTAACAATTCGAACTTCAACTTTTTGGGACCACCTACGGACCTATGGGCCTCTCCACGGACGCCCCTTGTGATTTACTGGAAGTCAGTTAACAGAAGACTCCTACCAAAGCAGAGAAAATACAGGCCTGCTATCTTAAAATGTTTCAGGAGCAAAGAAAAAATACATAAAGTACAGTGAGATACGGTACGTTAAGTGGTCAGTAGACAACAGCGGCTGAGTTAGCCCCTGGGAGGCTGATTCCAGCCCCACCTCCCAGTCGGCCAACTCTCAACCCCATAGCTGATAATTTAGAAACACCAGCACCTAGTGCAGGTGGGGACAGCTATCATTTTCAAATCTGTCCCCCCAACAACTATCACAGGTCTCCTCCCCCGGCAGCAGGACACCCCACCTTATGGCGCCTGTTCCTAACTTGGTTATTAGGTGGTCCTTAAACGCAAAACAGAAGACATAAATGCAAACCAAAACCAACAGTGGCCTCCTCGGACTGGGCTCTGGCCCGCAGGTCACCTCTCCGAAGCCAGACCAGGATAAACTGAAGCCATAGTTACCGTGCCAGCATGTCACACTCTCAAATTTTAATTCTTCTGCAATGAGTATCATTGGAAGAATTTCAAACACTTTGAACTTGAAAATCATCAAGCTAAAAAACCTCTTAGAACAGCGCGTTCTTTTCCACACTGACATTAATGTGGCTGCGGAAGAAACGCAAGGCGCTTTCTTACCAATGAAGCTCAAATTCACGGTGTCTGACAGGCCGGTACTTTACACACACACACACACACACACACACACACACACACACACACACACACGAAAGACAAACTATGGACCATTTATTCAAATAGTCTCTTTTTCTTAGACAAAAAAAAAGTAAAACAAACTTCTGTTTTACAGAAAGAGCCCCTAAAGTAAATAATCAAAGCAACTGATTAAAAACCTCTGACTTCAGGCATGCACGGTGCCCGGCAAACCTTCCCACTGAACTCGGCCTTGCTGGGCTCGGGGCGCCCTTCCCACGGGGGCGGAGGATGCCAGGGCGAGCCGCCCGCACTCCGGGGATGCCCCGCGCGGAGCCCGAGGAGGCTGGCGCCCCGGGGCCCGCCGCACCGCCGGGGGCGCAGCCCACCTGGCCAGGCCCCCGGTGGGTCGCACGGCCGCCCCTGCTCTGCGTCAGCCCCACATTTTAAGTCTCGCTAGTCGCTAGGAGAAAAGAAACCAACTCCGACTCCACCTCCAGGTCACCCTCTGGCCCCCGCTCCGAGGGCGCCGGCCCGCACCCCTGCAGCTCGCGGCCGCGCACCTACCTCGCGAGGCCGGCCCGAAGTCTGCGGCCCCGACCCCGACCCCGACCCCGACCCCGACCCCCGCCCCGGCCCCTCCCGTCCCGTCCGAGCCGGCGTCTGACCCCGGGAACTCTCCAGGCGCTGCCCCTTTCCTCCCTTCCCGGTGTTCCCAGCTGTGGGTTCCTCCCTCTGGGCTTCAGGCAGGAAGAGGATGGTACATCTGCCCCTATTTGTCCCCAACTCTGCTGGCTCGGGCCTGTTTTCCCTGCTATTAGAGCCTTCAGATAATTGCGGCCCTTATCAGCACCATTAGCCTGTGTTGACTCAGAGGCCGCCTGAGGCACAGTCCTCCTGCAGCCACCCCGGGGCTGGGTCTCCCTCTGCGGCCCTCCAGCTTGGAACCAGGCTGATAAGGCAGCCTTGCACGCCGAGGAGAACTTGTCCTCCAAACAAGCGTGACACTGCTGTGGGCTTCTCAACGAACGAGTGAGGGCTAGGTGAGTTTTGTAAAGTCACTTGCACGACGCCCCTCATTTTGGAGCCCAGGGAAGCTGTGTTACCTCTGGCCAGGTCTGCGTCCGGAGCTCGCTCTTGCTCCGGTCCTGGGAGGTGGGGGCGGGGTGGGGTGGGGACAGGGGTGGGGGCGGGGAGGGGCGGGGCGGGCCACTCTACCTCCTAAGGTCTCCTGGCCCTCGGGAAGGGACGCTCCATTCCGGTGGGGCCGAATTCCTAAGATAATTCTCTTCCACCCTTTGAATCTTATCCCTAAAGGTAAAGCCTGGTCGTCCTGGGAATTGTGGCGCCCTTCGGACGCCCTTGCTACAGGCCCGCGAGGATCATCCGGGGGGATCGAGGCAGACCTGCTTTTTGATTTTGCTCGGAGCACAGGCTGGAGATATCTGAGTGGACATCAAGGCTTCCGAAACGCTTGGGTCGCTTTTTCTTTTCACGACTGTTTCTGCTACGTGATCCATCAGAATCCAGGCATAATTGGCAGGATATGGGCTAGTTTAATCGCTTCTTGATGATTCTATTAAAATTGGTACATACGTATGTATCTTGAAAATGTGAGTTAGGAACGCGAATACTGCAGTTGATTCTGAGAAGATGCACACCATGTTTAGTTTGTTTTAGATCACATGGTCAACTTTTTAATTCTTCCATAAATGTATCTTAATCCTTAAAAAATTTGCCTTACTATGACTAAAACTATTTCTAAACCAGGTGCTATGGTCCACACCTGTAATCTCAGGTACTGCAGGTCCAGGCCTCATGCCTATAATCCCAGATACTCTAGGTCCAGGCCTCACACCTGTAATCCCAGCTACTGCAGGTCCAGGCCTCATCTCAAGTAAAAGAATCTGCAATGCCATAGTTTTATATGTCTTCTCTTGTAAAACTTTATTGACTAGTTTTCAAACTTTATTTGAAACTGTATTTGGGGGCCCCGGGGAGATGGCTTAGTGGAATAAGCACTTCCCTAGCAAGTGCAAGGGTCTGAGTTCAATCCCCAGTTCCAAAAAAAAAAAAAAAAAAAAAAAGAGACTGTATTCCTTTGCCACCCTCTAGGCTTTTTAAACATAGGATTTGATCTCTCATCTCCGCCTACGTCTGTGGACACATTCATTACAGCACTGGTGGCAAGCCTGTGGCAAGTGCGCCCTTGTTCTTTTATGACAAAAGATGTTAATGTGTGAGTTTTTTTGTAAACTAAAACTTCATTATTTGGCTTCCAGTTTGGGCGCTGGTCTGTGACAGTTTGCTGGCTCCACAGCTTTGGTACGAGCCCAGAGGGTTTTTTTTCTCATCCCTTTCTGAAATTGTGTTCCTTAGTTCCTGCTTTTTAAGTCTCCTCTGGTACTGTGGACTGAACCCAGGGGTGCTCTACACTACACCAGCAACTCAGCGCTTTTTATCTTACTTTGCAACAGGGTTCCACTAGCTGCCCTTGAACCTGTGACCTTCTTGTCTCAGCCTCCCCAGTATAAGCTTGTCACGTCAGCAGTCCCTTGGCCAATGGCAGGATAAAAGGAGGGACAGAGGAATCCAGGCACAAGCCCAACAGGGCAGGCTTATTTCAGAACAAACTTGAGAGGGACCGCCTTGGTGCTGGGAACCCCCCCCCCCCAGGGACGACAGGCCCTGAGGTCTGCTGCAGGGTCCTGAGCTTAAGGGGAAGGGAGGGGAGGGGAGGGGAGGGGAGGGGAGCGGGTGGAAGACCAGGTCAGCGTGGGACTCCAGGGTGGAAAGGTCAGCTAAGGCTGCTGGCTGCGAGGGCCAGGCCTGAGAAGTGTGGGGGCGGCTGTCTGCGGGAGCAGGGCTGCCGCTGTGCTCACAGGGCCGCCCCGCCCCGTGGTCACCCACGTCTTCAGCAGGTGTAAACACGGAGCAGCAGAAGAGGCTGTAGGCAGCCTCGGGTCAGGCTACTCTGCCGCGGTCAGGCGCCTTCAGCAAGATACACCTGTTTCGTTACTTTTGAGACAGGGTCTGCTGGGATTACTGGCATGTACCATCACGCTTGGCTACACCCCTGTGGTGAGCTAGCCAACGCTGGACCTCTGACAAGTCCCGTCCAGGGTGGAGAATCTGCAGAGCAGCGATTCGCATGGATGTGTGTCCACAGCCCCCCGGGATTGCGAGGCTTCTGATTCACATGTGAGAGAGCACAATTAATCACCTCGGGTTCAGGGGGGCCGGGAGATGGCTCAGTGGAATAAGCACTTCCCTGGCAAGCACAAGGGCCTGAGTTCAATCCCTGGTTCCGCAAAAAAAAAAAAATTTAAAAAAAAAAAAATCACTTCGGGTTCTGGCATAACTTAAATAAGTGCACGAAGTTCTCACAGAGGTTGACTCCGTGCCTCCCACCTTGTAGCCCTGCAGAAAGGCCAGACCTAAGCCAGGAACCTTCAACAATAACAAGGAAGTTCATCGTCAAGATCTTGAGGCAGTGAGAAAGTACCCTGAGAGCTGAGAGTTTCGTAGGGCAGAAATAGAACAGAAAGAACAATGGCCCATTAAGTTTCCACGACTACCCCTGATTTATACTGTGTACTCAAGTTAATCAAAATTTAAATTGTTTTTCGCTTATAGATGAAAAATCACATCTGTTAATCTTGCATGACGACAGCTTATGTAATTGCTCATGTACAAATAAAGGCGGCTGATTTTGCTCTGTGTTGAAGAGCCTTGCTCTTCTTCCCTCCTAACCCCACTGTGGTTCTCCGAGTCTTTCTTCTTCACCGCCTGCCTTCCTCTCTCCTCAGGTTGTTGGTCCCAGAAGCTGAGGCTGGACTGTGGCACACCCACTTCTCAAAGGATGGTGTTTACAGCTAGTCTTTCTGAGTCCCCCAGACAGAAAAAACAAGAACCCTCCTTCCTCTGACAAGCGCCTCTGGGTAACACCCGGTTCTGTTCTGTACAGAGAAGAGCAGCACCGAGTCTGGTGGCAGAAGCGAGTCCCGCCACCCTCTACCCCACTGCCGAGCGCCTGGCCGTGGCGGGACTCTAGGGACTCGGAAGCTTTTCAGCCCTCAGAACCCAGGGGGTGCAACTACTGTTCTATCCACCTACAGATGAGAACACTGAGGCAGGGAGGGTTACGTGGGTACCCAGCTAGTCAACGGCAGAACGGGTCAGAGAAGTAGATCTTTAGATTAATTAGGTAAGTCTTGTTGTTTCCTTAGGAGGAAATATAGCTCCAATACCTGAGGTTGTCACCTCAGGTATAAGTATGAAATTAGGAGGTACGAGCAATCTGTTCTTTAGTTTTCTGAGAGAGGGTCTCGGTGTAGTCCAAGCTGGCTGCGAACTCATAGCAGTCCTCCTGCCTCAGCCTCCCAGTGCTGGGATTACAGGCGTGTGGTACCATGACTGGCTACAAGTACTCTTATCTAGAAAGAAATACTTATATTATTTTTTTCCATATTATTCTCCCCTAGAAAACATCTACTGTGGGAGTGGCGTACAGGCCTGAAACCCTAGCACGCCGAGGGGCTGAGGAAGAAAGATTGCAAGTTTGAGCCTGGCCAGTGATCTAGTGAGATCCTGTCTCAAAACAAACTAACTAAATAAATAAATAGCTAAAAGACCTGAGGATGTAACTCTGCCAAGGGCCTGGGCTCAAAACCCAGCGCCACCAAAAAGAGAAAAGCAAAAAAGAAATGAAGAAAAACCACTGTGACTTGTGCACAGCTTTTAATTTTTCTGTGAGGAGCAAAGCAGGTAGGAAGCATCGCTCTTCTCACGTGGCTGTCAAGGAAACCCCAGCGCTGCCCTGAGGCTGAAGCCGCTCCCACACATCTTGGTTCTGAGAACTGTCTCCAGGACTGGCCACAAAACCCGTGTGATCCGTGGCGGGGGCGCAGGGCTGACCAGCAGGCTGGGTTTCTGCCACTTCCCTGCACTCTTCCCTACGATCCTCGGCGTTGGATGACTCGCCCCGGTGTTACAAGGATATTGCACAATGGAGATACCGAGGGCATACTGTCCCGGTGCGGCTGGGTCTGAATCCGCGGAGCAACACTTTCTATGCAAGAGATGTGTTGAACTTAAAAGGGGCGCAGGGCCGGGCTGGGAGTGCGCCTGATGGTACCAAGCCCGCGCTAGCTCGCAAGGCCAGGGCCTGATCCCCCGTGGAACGACAGGAGCCCAAGCTCCGTCTCTGCGGGGTCCCTGCCCATGCTCTTCCCCAGGGATCTAGCAGCCCGGGGTCTCCCCCGTGGTCAGTGGCACGGAGCACTTTTCACGTTTCACGCTTTGTGCTTCCAGGCAGGAGGAAGAGTCAGCGGGCATGGAGCCTGGAGAGCAGCGCGGCAGGTCACTGCGCACCGACCTCCCAGACCTGGCTCCCACCCTGCCCTCCACGTGGGGACCTGGGCCAGCCCCTGTGGCCACATCCAGCCGCCTCGCTCCTTGTCCCCCACTGCCAAAGATGAGCCCGCGGCTCTGCAAGGCCCTCTTTGGCCTGAGCTGTGCAAACCAAAGGAAAAGCTGGGCGGTAGTCCCCACAGCTCCCACTCCTCGCCTGCAGGGCGGCGAGCTGGGCAGCAAGCGCTCCGGTGAGATGAGGACTTGAGCAGTGCTCCGCACCACCAGCAACTCAGGGGCAGCCTGAGTCTGCCCTCGAGCACACCTAGCGGGGTTACCTGAGATGAGGACTTGAGCAGTGCCAGTGCTCCGCACCACCAGCAACTCAGGGGCAGCCTGAGTCTGCCCTCGACCACACCTAGCGGGGTTACCTGCTAATGTATGTACTCCCTTCAAGAAGCCTGGGAATGAGCCAGATGTGGCGGTGCATGCCTGTAGTCCCAGCACACAGGTGGCAGAGGCAGGAGACTCCCAGGGTTTGAGGCCAGCCTGGGCTACACAGCAAGTTCCAGGCCAGCCTGGAGCACACAGTGAGACTGTGTCTCAAGAAAATCAAAAAGGGACTTTAAGAAATGGGTACACTTAAAAAAAAAAAAAAAGAAAGGGGTACACTATATTTCTCCATTTTGCACATTACAAAATGAAAGGGCAGGGCTTAGCCCAGTGGACTAAGTGCCAGCTCAGGTAAGCACAGGGAGGAGGGTTCAATCCTCGATGCCGCACGGGGTGCCGGCCCCGCCTCCCAGCGCTGGGGAGGCTGAAAACAGGAGGCTGACTACGAGTCTGAGCTGCCTAGTGAGACCCTGTAACAACTAAAACAAAAACAGAAACAAAAAAGGACAAAGCTCCAAGGTGAGGCAGAGAGCCCTTCTCACCCTGCCTCCGCTTCCCAGCTGCCCCAGCTGCTCCTTGGGCTGCTTAGAAATCGGGTGCTCCCCACTAGCAGGAGGTTTCCAAAAAAGGCTGGTCAGAAACTCAAAATTAATGCTTCAAATAGGAAAACCGGGAAGTACTTACTCACTGAGGCAACTGGAGGTTTTAAAATGTGTCTTTCAGTTGGCTGGAGATCTCTTCCCTAGATAGAGGCCCCTCGGCTGCAGAGCCCCAGGCCAGCTCCAGGGCGACTGCATTCACCTCTGGGTGGTGCCCGGGCTGGGGAGATGATGCCACTTCCGGTGGCATCTGGGGCAAATGACTGGAGCCGCAGTTATCTTTTAGGAAGTGAGAGAGTCATGACTGGCTGGCCGGAGTTTGGCGTGGAGGAAAGCCGGGGGCGGCAGAGCGCGAAAGGCAGAACCTTGCTGAACTTTGCTGCTGAGCCCTCCACCCCCCACCCATGCAGACATAGCTCATCTTGGCTTGCTTTTTTTTCCCCTTAACAGTGCGGCCCCTCAGCCCTCTCTCTGGATGGCGCCTTCAAGGCCAACTGCTTCTTTGGGGGAGGGAGGAAGTGGCAGAGCAAAGAGCAGGGGGAGGTGGAGGAGGAGGCCGGCTCCCCCTCTCCTGCTGTTCCCCAGGACCCCGCCAGGGCTTCGCATCCTGTCCCTGACCCTTGCACACCCCGATGGTGGACGCACAGCCAGTCCAGAGCTGCCGCAAAGCGTGGGTCTGCAGCCATGCTGACCACAGGCCGGGGTGAAGAAGGCTACGCCCACACGGCTCCTTCTGGGGGTGATCCTGGAAACCAGCTGGTCAGGGACGCGCGGCGGCGGCAGCGGCGGCGGCATGCTCAGAGGAAGAGGCCTCTGGCTGCGCAGATGGATGCAGGAGATGATTTGCGAGAGGAGCAGCCTCACCTCCCCTCTAAACACCAGGACGCAAAAGGAGGAGGAAATGAATCAGAAAAGAAAAAAATGAGGAAGTGAAGCTGAAAAACTGGCTTCCAGAGACAGCGAATCATGCGCAGGTGGGCTAGACTCTTTGGCGGAGGCTGGATCTCCATTACCTTAATGTTTCCTCCTTCAGAGCTGGGGCTTGAACCCAGGGCCTCGTGCGTGCCAACTGTTACACCATTTACTGTGCAGCGTCTGCTTGATTAAATGATTTAGAGCAACGAAGGAACAAGACTAATAGATTCCAGCAGACGTGTGAATTAAATCCTCGCATACTTTTTTCATTTTTTTACTACTATGCTGTTAAGTAAGCTGGCCTATAAAGTGATGCAATTGTCGTTCTTTTAATAAGATTATTTTCCTTTACATTATCAGCTACCTGCTGTGTGCTGTGAAAGTGAATTCCATCCTCTTGTCTACCAGCATCGATCAAATCATTGCGCACTTTCCACGTACATCTCCGTACACTCGCTGCTGTGTCTCTAGGAAGGCTCCTGGGACTTCAGTGTCCAGTTGCTAACCTTAGTAGTCTGAAATTCAGGGCTGGTGGGCTCCTGTAATTCCAGAGCTCTCGAGGCTGGGAGGATTGCCACGCGTTTGAGGCCAGCCTGCACTACTTGGTGAGACTCTGTCTCATGAAAAATCAAAAACAGAAAAAATTGGGGGAAATGTATTCCATAATTAGCAAAAGTGCCACCTGTGGCGCATGCAGATCTGTAGATGGGCTGCAGGTCCCCCCAGCCTCCTTGCAGCTTCTCCACGCTGGGGGGCTTGGGGGGGGGGCTGCAGCTTTGGCAGACACAGAGAACAGGAAAGCTGCAGTAACGCAGCTGCCTGCCATGCGCACACTCTAAGTTTAAAGTGAGGTTGTTCGATAGCACCCAGCAGACTTTCAACCGACGTTCTTGCTTCCCAGAGCTTCTCATCCATCGTAGACAGTGACTTTGCCCTTCCCGCTACGGCTGCTGTTCTGGCTCCCACTCACGGTCCTCAGATTGTGTGCTGTTTTTCCTACTCACCATCCTTGATGTTTTCTAAAGGAAAAATGACAATTTACAAATGTTTCGTACCTACAATGTGCCGTCTCACAAGGGTTTCTTTTCCTAAAGTAAAATGAGCACCGTTATTTTTCCCTTTGCCGATGGTGAAACTGAGGCACGGGGGGGGCGAGGGCGGGGTGCCGGACAGGGTGCTTGGTCATTACTGTCCTTAAGTCATTTTTGTTATACCCTGTCAAAATTGACTCCATTTTGTTGCCCTTCTAACCCCGCCGAGTTCCTGTTTTGTATGCGCCTACCCCTCCCAACTCCTCACCCCTGTGACCCAAGTCTTATGACATCTGTACCCCAAACTTTCTTATCTTAATGAACTCTGTGTGACTGCCAACTCAGCACCCCCCCAACAGGACCACCCAATGAACGAATGACCCGCTGTACCCCATGATTGCTGACTTCAGCACCCCACCCAACGGGACCCCCCCCATGAACTAATGACCCTGCCACTTCTTCCTCTCCACCCCTTCCCTGTTTTTGTGGTTTTCAAGCTTAAATACTGACCCTTGTCAATGTTCGGCGCGCACTTAGGCACTTTGTGTCGGGTGTTGCCGCTGGGTACCAGCTAAAATAAAGCGTTTCTTTTAACTTTTGGACTTACCTCATTGTCATTCAATTTTTGAGCTACAACAATTTTTGTTAATTTTGAAAAGCAGTTTATGAACATGACCCTACATTTCAAAGGATTCAAGACAGGCTTGACGCAAAGCAGACCCCGCCTACGGGCTCCAGCCCTTCTGCTGCTGCCCGAGCCGAGCAGAGCCATTCTGTGCAGATGCGCGATCTCCGGCGAGCTCAGGCGTGGCTCTGCTTGTGCGACGCGGTGACTGCACACCCACTGGTGCTGCGGGCTGCAGCAGAAGCTTCGAGCCTGAGATGACAGCACTCGAGGGCCTCTGGCTCTCAGGCTGAGGGCCTGATTTGGTAACGAGCAGCTTGGGCTTGTCCAGATAGTGGTGTGGAAAAGGCCAGAAAGGCCAGCACTGAATCAAACCCTGAGGGTGACGGGGCCAGCAATCGTGGGGGGTCTGGCAGAAGGACCTTCCATGCGCGAGGAGCAGGGAGCAGGCACGTGTTCCTGGCCAGAGCGAGCAGCAGACATGGGAGGCCAAGAAGGAAGGGAACTCCAGAAAGGACTTAGGCTTTTCCTTTGGGAGCCAAAGGAAAGCTTTGAGCACAAGAGTGACGTTATCTCATTCACTGTCACTTACTCTTGCTCCGTTGAGAATCCGCTTCTGGGGCCAGGGCAGGAGCAGAGACCCCTGGGAGGGTGCCGACTGCTGCAGGGCTGCCCGCTGGGCCCGCGTGGTGGCAGCCGAGGAATCAAGAGTGACATGGCTCTGGGGATAGTTTGAAGGTAGAGGCAACAGAATTTGACTCCGGAGATGAGTGAGGTGTAAGAACAGAGGAGGACACGGGAACGAACCCCTGGGTTTTGGTCTGATCAGTAGGAAGAAACAAGGCCCCATCCGCTTCCTGAGATGAGGAGACAAAGAAGCGGAAGGCCGAGCGCTGGGTGCTGGGCTTCCGCATTCTGCCGCGTCCCAGCTGAGAGGTTCAGAGCGAACTGGGGAAGCAGATCGCAAGGAATCCACCCGGAGAGGACAGCTTGGCTCAGCTGCCACTGGAGGAGGTGAGGCTGGCCCTGACAGGAGGCGTGGGAGCTGGGCCCCAGTGTTGCACGCAGCCAAGTTAGACAGAAATATAGGCAGTTAGACAGGGCCAGGCCCTCAAGGAGACAAGATGGAAGACAAGGTGACTTTGCAACTTGGAAGGGACAGACACTGCCATATGGGCCACACCTCAAGACCAAGACAAAAAGAGGAAGCACAGCTACATACTTCCCTAGGGATGGGCATCAGGGATTGATATCCTAAATAGTATCAATCAACCTGAAAGAGCCCAAATGAGTCACTAGCCCAACCCCCAACAGGAAGAGACTCTGTTCCATATTCGTACCCGCTTGCTACGTGACTCGCTTTCCCATTTGATACTGGGTTTAATCAATTTTACCTGAGCAATGGTGCTTGTAATCTCATTGGTTGACCATAGTTTGGTCCCACCTGATGCCCAACTAAACAAGTTCCCATGTCTTCTCCACCACCTTAGACCCGCCTCACCACATGGTTTTCCTCTATAAAAGTCCCTGCAAGAGACAACTTCCTGGGGAGAAGTACCCGTTCGGGTCCCCCCTCCTGTCCCTCTCTCGGGACAGGAGTTTTTTTTCTCTCAATAAATATATTCTGCTCATAACCTCCATTTGTTCCTAAAATTCATTCTTCAGTTTTAGAGAACACGAACTCGTGCAGGTCAGGTCCAGAGCCCTATGTCATTTGGAGGTTCCCTATATTGTTTGGAGATCACCCACTCGAGACCAGTTTTTCTCCCTGTATCACCAGGGCAGCCTGGAGGCAGCCTTCTGGCTGAACGGAGAACACGCCCCGACCCCCATGATGGCGCACCTGCTGCAAAGGTAGCCTGTGGGCTGCTAGGGCCCAGTGACCGTGTCCAAACCCACAGCCTCTGCTGTTGCTCAGGCCTCTTCTTGACTCGAGGCCCACTGACCACAGCTACAGCCCATAAATGCTAGGCATGGTTCAGCCCTGTTCTTGGCAAACAAATTACATCTCTGTAAATTCCCAGTCCCCGACCTGGGCGGACAGCTGCAACTGCTTTGCGCTGGGCTTTCCTCCTAAGTCCCTCTGTGACCTTTTCCTTCCACAGCCTCCTTTGTGCCCAGGACCCAGTGACAGACCTTGCAGCCTGTATGGGAGTGGGTAGTCTGGGCCAAGTGCCAGAGCTGCCCCTTTGGGTTATTTCTAGGACATACCAGTTGAGCAGTTGAGCTTGTGCCTCCGTTTCTTTTCCTCTTTCCTAACATAGGCCAGCTACAGGAGGCTGGGAAGATGAGAGGGGGAATGTGACGGAAGCCGAGGAGGCAGAGTGAGTGCAGCAGGAAAGTCAGGAGCGGGTAGGGTCCTGGAAGCCTGGGCCTGGAGGAGGAACTGCCTGAAGGAAAGACCCAAAAGAAGGCTGTTCGTAGAAGAGCAGTCAGCAAGCAAGGCCGTTGTGGAGGGGAGCCACGGGACAAAGCTCTAGCGAGCGGCTCAAGGGGGAGCAGGAGGAGCAGAGAGCGTCCACAGGGGTTCTGCTGCAGATGAGGGGCGGCAGAGTGGCCAGTAGGGGAGAGTTCTCTCTGCACTTACGACGGAAGCACAAGCACTGCCCTGACACGTGGTCTGGGAGACAAGGCCAAGACTGTGAGCAGCGCCCTTGGGCAAGGAGGGCCGCCTGGCCTGAGGAAGGGCTGTCCTCGGGGAGGGACCTGGCAAGGCCACCAGCTGGAAGTGCGCCTGGAGAGGAGGCACCAGGGGGAGGAGAACAGGTTTGCACTGATGCACAGTAGTGGGGCACTGCACATCCCCTTTCATTTACACTCATAAAAGCAACATATTTTAGTAAAAAATATTCAGAGTGTAGGGAAAATCATAACATTACCTTAATAACAACCCTTTAATAGTTCTAGCTACCGATGTATTTCAATTTACCTTTTGCTTATTGAGACAGGGTCTCACTCCAGAGTTCAGGATGGCTTTGAGCTGCGCAGTCCAGGCTGGTGTCAAGCTCAAGACGTCCTCTCCCAGACGCAAGGCCTCCGAGTGCTGCGTTGCAGGTGCGCCCCGCCACACCTGGCTCAAGTTTATCTTAGCGAAAGCCATCATCATTTTATCCACATTTTCTATTTTAAGGAACCTTCATGGAATAGAGCACTACAAATGGATCAGAAATCAGCTTATTACATCTGGTGTGCAGTAGCTTGTGCCTGTAATCCTAGCACCTGGGAGGCCGAGGCACAAGGATCACCATGGGTGTGAGGCCGACCCAAACCACATCGTGAGATCTTGTCTCAAAAAAAAAAAAAAAAAAAAAACAATGAAAGAAGTCAGCCTGTTAAGTATTTACTTAGAAGTGGATGTACTTCAGTCAGTTGACATGTATTTGTGTTCAAATCTATGTTTGGCTACCTTGAGAATGACCCAACTTGGGGCTGGGGCAATAGCTCAGTGGTCGAGGTGCCTGCCTGACAAATGAGAGGACCCAGGTTCAATTCCCAGTATCATATGCTGTGCTGGCCACCAAAAAGGGCATGGTGGCACACGCCTGTAATCCCAGCGCTGGTAAGGCTGAGACTGGAGGATCACTAAGATTCCAAATATCAAAACCAAATAAATAATTAATTTTTTTAAATGACCCTACTTGGAAAATCACAAAACATTTTTTTTTTTTTTCTTTTGCAGAACTGGGGATTGAACTCAGGCCCACCAGGAAAGCGCATATTCTACTGAGCTATCTCCCTGGCCCCTATGACTTTTCTTTTTTTGTATTTTAGGGAAAGGTCTACAGGGTGTTCAGAGTCTCACTACTAGATTGGACTTGTAGTGATCCGCCTGTTTACAACCTCCCAGGAGTTGGGATTACAGGCGCGTACCACCACACCCGGTCTTGTGTGTATGACTTTAATAGCTCACATGTTTTTAAGGGTTTTATTTTTTTTTCTTCCTCGAATGCCTTCAGGGCACTTTTGGCCAGCGGGAGAGTTATGAGGTTTGAACTCCAGGAACCTGAGGCTGACAGCTTTGTGGAAGCAGCCACTTAAAGGACTGAGCTAGGGCCAGGCCCCTTCACATGTTTTTTATAATCTTTCTGTAAAGCATTTGCATTTAGAAGTATACATAAATGATGAAGGATCTACTTTTATACGGGCACAGAGATAGCCCTGATAGGACAGTAACAATTTTGAGATTTTTCAATGAAAACATCTCATGAATTCAATTTAATAACAGAACTAAATTTTGTGTTAAATCTGTATCTGAGAAAGCTTTGTGCTGTTGATCAGCAAGGCTGGAGTTTTTGGGATTTGGAAAGTTGTAGATTATTATTTATTTATTTATTTATTTATTTTGCGGAACTGGGGATTGAACTCAGGCCCTTGTGCTTGCCAAGGAAGTGCTTATTCTACTGAGCCATCTCCCTGGCCCACCAGTTGTAGATTAAGAAGTGCTAAATCACCGGCTTCGCTCTTGAGGATGGAATGAAA